TGCACAGAAAGAAAACCTGTTAATACCTCAAGAATCGTTAACGTTTTAACGGCGCCACCCACCCAAACGCGATAAAACGTAAGCATTTCGCCCGATTTCATAAAGCGAGGCCATAATCTCGAATCCCGGCAACAATTTTCCCCCGTGTTCGAGGGAGAAAGCAATTCGACGCGGTCAACAACATCGCGAAACCTCGTCGTCGTATTTGTTTGGCGAAACCATGGAAATCCATGTCTGCGTCGTAAACGTTGGCCTTGCTCGCGTGGAATGTATATCAACCCTTTCCAACCGTGTTTTCGCTTTATAAGAAAGTCGCGGGAAACCTTGGAACCGTCCCACGAGAGATCCGATCCTTGGCTCGAGGGTGCCGAAATTGAGGGGTGAAAGAAGGGAAAGGGAGAAGAAGAAGAAGAAGAAAGAGGCGCGAGAAAGAAAGAAAAGAGAGGTGGAGGAGAGAGGGTGATTGGAAAGAGACGAAAGAGGGGAGAGAAAATGGAGAAGAAGCGCGGCATACGGTAGCGGACGATGACGTAAAGCACGCTTAGCGGGCGGAATGCGGAGTACAGAACGGAAATGAAGAATTATTGCGGGAAGAAGAGGTTGAAAAATTTATTCCTCGAGGAATATGATTTATGGGATTTCGTAGGAGCGAAAGAATCGCAAGGGGAATAATTTAGTCGGAGAATTGTAGTTTTTGTAGTTCCAAGTTTGATACGTGTTTGAGAAGTTTTTACGTTCAGTTGAAATTTGAGATATCGAGAAAGTGACGTTTAATTATAATAATAATTATATACAATTACGAAGAAATAATTTTTCTTTCTTTTTTTTTTTTTTATTTTTACTAGACTCGATTAAAAAGAATATTAATTGCGAAGAATTTTTCTTCAACGTAAGAGAATGCGTTATTTTTTTAAAAGACGCAGGCTATTATTTCCGCTTCCTTCAAAGCGAATTCTACGAACGAAAAAAGAACTGCTTTTATTCGTGGAAACAAAACACAGTCCTCCAGAAATCGTACTGTCATTATAAAATAGAGTTTTTGCAGGAATACGATATCGGACTTATTATTATCGTGAAAGTTGATTTGCTCGCAAAGATGAATAAAATGTCGACGTTTTTGTCCTTCTCCGGCGTGTATTCGAGACTTTTGTAAGGGTTGAACGGAGTACAATAAAACGCAGATGCCAAATTCAAGAGAGCCACTTTCGCCGATCTTTATTTTCCTGTTTCGTCTCTTTGTCTCTCCACTCCTCTTTCTTTTTTATTTTTCTTCCTTCACCGCTTCGTTTCTCCCTCCCTCGAATTTCATCATTCAAACTTAATAAGGGAGCAACGTCTCCAATAATCCACTCGAAGGTTAACAATATAACTCTCTCTCCAAATATTTTTCAAATTATCAATTTTCTTTCTTCGCTATCGTCCCTCAAAAAAAAAGAAAGCGCCAAGTTTTACTTAAATATTTTCCAAACTATCGTTTTCTTTCTTATCGATTATTATTCTCTGTTCGAGAAAAAGAAAAAAAAAAAAGAAAAATCCACAAAAAAAGGAGTCGTCAAGTTTGTAATATCTCAAGGGAAAATACGCGTATAATAGGCTCTTCATCGTCGTTCTTCCCACAAAACCCTGTGGATTGAACGCGAGCTGGCATCGAGAGAGTCCCTTCTCAACAGACACTTTCTTCTCTTAAAGGAGTTCCGCGGTGTTCCATACCAATTCCAGAGGGAATCGATCCTCGAGAAAGGACGAGAAACGTCTGAAACGGAAGGAGGTGCGGAAGTGGAGATTAGAAGAACGATGGTAGTAAGCGTGGCAAAGCAAAAATCCTCCTCGTTACCCTTCCTCCTCAATGTTTTAACTCGCGTCCCCCGTTTCCACGCGATATCGAATTCCATTTTCCACGAGGCACATAATTTTCTTCGGATCCGAGTTGTCATATTTTAAGACGAAGGAACAATTGATCGAGAGAATTCCAAGTTTTAATTATTATCGAGACGACGCTTGATCGAGACCGTCTTTTGTTCCATTCCTGGCTAATTGTTTAGTACTTTAGGAAGGGAGAATCATCGTTTAGTCGTTGGAAAATTGGATCGTGTTTTTTTTTTTCTTCGCTTGAAAAGTTGATCGAATTGCTTTGTTTTCGACGAAGCTCTTCGACGTTTTTTTTTAAGCAGTCGCGCCGTGTTTTAATTGTAATGATATATGTGAATTAAAAAAGAATTTTTCTGTTTTGTAAAGAAATAAGGTACATATCTATATCGATATGTTATTTCATTACCCTTCCTCGAAATTGTTCCAAAAATATACACCCTGTACACAAGACGATGGAGTCGAAAGTCGGACGAAACGGACGAGCCATTAACTAAATCAACATTTACTCTTATTTTACTCGTCTTATTTTTATATCGGAAAATGGAGACCATGTTCTTAACGATCGTCGAGCACGTTTTCCTATACAGGGAACTGATACGATTTATTCGACTGAAACTGTCAAAGTGCTTCATCCCCTATCTCGAAAAGAAGATTAAAAAAAAAACTAATTTTAACAATTTTATATATTTAAGAATATTTCAGAAACAATCTCGAACGACTAACAATCTTATCACGAGATAACAGGACCACGACAGGTCCATTAACGATTAATCGTTTAAAAGCTTCTTGCCTCGACGCAATCTTAACGAACGCTTTAATCAATTCAGCTAAACGAGTTACGCGTTTCTTAAGTGCTTCGTGTCCTTTCTTATTCACGACAACGCGAGTTTAACACCCCTTCTAAGATCATTTTAAAAATCTCACTTTCTCTTCCCCTTTTTTTTCTACCTTGAAATTTCACTCCAACATTTCGCGGTTCCGACACTTTTTTCAAATTTTCTTCTTACAATTTTCTCAAATCCTTTCTCTCCCTCTTAAAAAATTCCTTTAAATATATTTATATCCTTCTAAAAAATCCTTCTCTTTCAAAAATTCTCCACCTTCGACAATTTTTATTCAAAAAAATTTCGTTCCTTTTTTTTTCGCGATAAATCGTGAACAGGTCGATCACGATCTACCAGCCATCCATCCGACGCGCTCGTGTATCCATCAATGATTACCACGCAAATCGATATCCGAAGCAATAAAAAGATCTGCCGTTCGATTTATAGCGGCGAAAGTGGCGTTTTATTGGCGCTATCGATCTCGCCGATCCCGGAGATTCCCTCCACGATTGTTCTGCGCCGCTGATACCCGTCGAAATAAGAGGGATTCGGTGTACCAGGTGTCGCGGATAAACTGACAACGGTGAAATATAGTGTGCACGCTCGTTTAACCGTACGTATAACTGTAGATAATTTATCTTTTTGCTTTGATTTTCATTTCTCTTTTCTTTTTTTCTTTCCCCTCTTTCTCGGTACCTCGATGTTTATACAGATGGTGATACGTTATCGCCTTACCGAGAAGAGTCTGTGCATTTTATTCGCGTGTACGTGTTTATTTCTAGAGAGTTGTACGCGAGTTACACTACTTATTATACATTTATAAAGCGATATTTCAGAAGATAAATTTTTGTTCTTTCTAAATTTTTGTTCTATTTTTCTCGATTTTGATATCGCGTTGGCTTGAAATTGTACTGAATACAATAATGCAAATATAATTTTATAATTGATGCACATATTTGTTCTTTAAAAAAACTGGAATTATTTAAAAATTAAAAATGTGAAAATTTGAATTGAATTTGGAAATCTTTCTCGATATTAATAACAGTAATAATAATTATATCAATAATTATTCTGAATAATTGGCTTCGATGACATGGCAAGAATTAAACATTGGAAAGGATTCGTGCATCTTTAAGATCGAAGTCTGGCGGAGGATGAAGAACAATGAGGGTTGGTTGAAGGATGAACGTAGCACGAGGGGATAGAGAGAGAGAGAGAAGAGAGGGAGAGAGAGAGCGGTTTAGGGCGAAGGGAGGATTTCGAGCTTGTGTCATGGGTTCTCTCGGGCTTCTTGGTTGAAGGCGAGATGTAGAAGGGTGAAACGGCTGGAAGGGAAGCTAATAGAAATGAAGAGGCCGCCTGTCGTCAAGGCATAAAACCGTAAACAGGTAGCATCGTTCTCTACATACTTCAACAACATCGATACTATTTTTCTTCCCCACACTTTGATATTTACGTCATAGGATTAAAGATGAAACACGTCTGATAAAAGTTTAATTCAATAACCCTCTGATTATACAAGAGTTAACAGTTAACTTTGTTATCGATTCGAAATTTTACAAAAAACAAGAGCTAAAGCGATCAAATCGATGGATAAACGATGGAAATATTTTCGAAGGAACGTATTCGGAGTAACATTCTCGAGTTTAGAGAGAATTGGGGAGGAAAAAGAGGGTAGTAGTACACCCCAAAACGGAAAGCAACGTTCCTTTCAAGACTTCTCGGTATTTGTTTGCTCCCACCCAAAAATTTGTTTACTTCAAATAAAAAAGGAGGAAATCGTTACACTATGAATTTTTTTTCAAAGTGAGAAAGAAACGACGAAAAATACGAATAGACCATTCTTCTTCCAAAATTATTCGAAACTCTTCGTCGTTTTTCATCCCCGATTCTCTCGAATCCAAAGAACTTTTTCCAAACTTCCTCGTCCTTGAAATTCTTCCTCCTCGTGAAATTCGTCGTCTCTCGAGAATCTCGCGAGAAAAGTTTCGCGGAGAAACAGTCTTGTCCCTCGATCCCTTTTTATTCGCGGTTCTCGCGCAAAAATGGCCGAGACTTAAAAGATTTACCGCTTCCTTCGCTTTCCTCCCTCTCTCGTCACTCTGGTTCTCGTCCTCCAGTTATGCAGATTTCGCGCCGAAAATTGAAATTTCGCGAGGTTACGCTTCCCTCGAGATTACGCACGAGACAATCGCGCGTTCCCTTCTTTCGTTTCGTTATCGAAAAAAAAAAAAAAGAAAGAGAGGAGAAAACTTTGTCTTTTGAAGCAATTTTGCACGAATATCTTTCGCGCTTTGATCTACTCACGTTAATGCAGATTCTAGACACTGGGGAGGAGGAACTAGCGGTGCCGTTGTGCCATCTACGTACCTGAAAACAGAACCAATCTTTGTAAGATAAGGGATAATATTTGGATCATCATTATTAGATTATTCATTAGATTATTTGGATCATAGAACGAGCCCTCGAAAATTCTAAATTTTCGCGAAATTGTAGAAGAAAAAGCACAGAGTTGTTTTCGATAATTTCTTCCCTGTTTTCTCTCTCATTCGTTCAACTCGAAGTCACCTGCTCGAATCGAACAACATCATCAGATCCGCCCTCATCCACGACCGCTATATTGTCCCTTAATCAAAGGAGGACACGTGTGACGGAAGTATGACTCAATATGGATCCAAGATAGCCCCCAGCGATGTCTAACAGAATCTTCACCCCCATTGTTGCATCGACAACTCGGGTAGTTGCGCATTTAACGAGCATAATAACTCTCCTCTCGTGGAGAAACGAAGCTGGAAGGCACGTGGTCGCTCCCCCTCCCTTCGAAGGAGAAAAGGGAAAAAAAAAAAAAACAGAAAAGCAGGCCCTGCTCCAGTTACCAAAAAGGGTTAACCAAGTTTGGCTACGAGGGGAGGAAAACAGGTTCCCTCGTCGGTTTTGACGGAGGACGGAGCCACGTTTTGACCCTTTTACTCGTCGACGTCTCTGCCTAATCGTCCTTAAAGACTCCTCCACGAATGATGAATCGCCGGTTTAACGAGGGTTTCGTTGCCGATCTATCGGTCGTTCCTTCCAACCCTAGGAGGGCGCCAAGTTTGGACAGAAGGATCACGCGCCCATCCATCTATTCCAACATGGTGATTTGTTTTAGTAGAATCTATTCTTTTTTTCTTCTTCTTTTCTTATCATTGAATCAAAAAAATCACACGCTTTTGTTCTTCGTATAACGATATAACGTTATAACATATAAAGTTTCAAGAAGTTCGAGGAAAAATTCGATCAAACGAAAAAATATTTCGCACTATCCGCTAATGTTTTTGTAAGAAACGATAAAACTTCGAAGAAGAGTTGTTCCTCGAGTTTTCTCACGATGAGAAGCACGATTTCTTGAAGCGACGTTGGAGCAAAAAGAGGCGCGCGAACGATCCATTACACAAACCACGTTCGCAAAAGCGAGAAATCACGGGTGCATCTCGCAAAACACGGAACGGGGATCAATTATACAGGCTCCACCCATAAATCCTCCAACTGGCCCGAGAAGAGTTTTATCATCGTGGGTAGTTTATAACGCTGGGGGACGCTTTAAAGTTTCGTTAAGTCGCGCAGCACCACATTCCATATACGTACCGTGTCGAATGAGAAAGCCTTGAAAACTCGCTCGCAGAGACGAGACTTTACGTAAAAGGCAATGTTCTTTATCTTGGTTTATCTCGGCTAGGATTGAAAAATCTCATCTATCATAACGTATTCGTCGATTTTTCGATCGTGGAAAATTTTTAAGAATCAATTAGAATACAAATTGCGTTGATTAAGCGGGGAATAATGATCGATTATTGATTTCGCTCTACCGCACAGCGAACATTGGTTATTGATATTTAAATGCAGGGTGGTGGCCCCCCTTCTTATTGTCCGAATGGCCCGAGGTCGCGTTATTGTTTGCACGTCCCAGATGTTAATTCTGGCTATATTCCGAAGCGAAATATACAGCCTATCTTTCCCAAACATGTGAATATTAAAAGCAAATGAAGAAAGGAGAATGAAATATAAAGCTGTGAAAAACACACACATTTTCTATGCACCGATTAAAATGGAACAGCAAATTTGTCGAAAACCTGAATCCAATTCTTTCCACATAATACTTTTATCAAAGCATCGATAATAAATCGATGAAAAATTTGCATAAAAATTAATCCTTTCTTCCAATTTTCATCCATAGATGAGAAACCAATCTGTCGAAATCGATCGAAATCCAAATAAAAATTAATCTCTTCTTAAGAAATAATAGAAACTCTTCGACTTACTTTTCTCTTCTTCCCTTTCTTACGTGATTCAAGAACGAATCGCACGAACACCAAGATTATGAATCACCGATTCGTGTAATCGTTGCCCCGTGGGACCGGTCCTCGAAGAATCGTCGAGGTTCCACGGGAAGAACGAGGAGGGCCGTCGTCATCGTTCGCCAAGCAACGTGGGAGGACACGGTACGCCGAATATATCCAAAGGAAATGGAAGATCAATATGTACTCTACTACTTCGCGGTGTCTTGTTACTTGACCGAAGAGAAGAAGATTCAGGAGGTTACTCGCGCGCAACGCCACTCCTTCCTTCAGGTAGTTTTGTAGTATCAGGGCGTAAGTGTATGTGTGTGTGTGTGTGTATTCAAATTGAACGTTCCTGATGAAGAAAGCGTGCTCGTTCCACGCTTCGTTTCACTCCAGCAATGACTCCGTGCTCTTTGTGCGTATCGAATGAGTATCGAATCGTAGGGTTGCGAACGAAGGGAACAGTTGTATTCTGTCCGTCGGTGGTGGATTCATCGAATCGCGTGTTTTTTGGGGGATGCGTGGGAGATTTTCGCTTGGAAGAATTTGCAGAAGGTCGTTAAGATAAGTTTATATAGAATTGGAGATTATTATTATTAGGAGAAAAGTGAAATTGGAGCAATCTGTTGATATTCTCCGATTTTCAAGTTTTCATCTCACTTTTTAAATTTCGCGATCTCGAATCTTATTTCCGAAGAAAACGGGACGACACTTTACAATCGCTCGCAAGGGAATCGAAGAATACCGAGAGGTCCATTATTCCCGTACAAAGAAGAAGGCCGAAAAATGTATTCAACCCCCTTTCGCTTCTTACTTTATGTAAATAGAAACGCAATCTTTTGCAAATCAACGAGAAAATATATATTCCTCCTCGTGGAAGGTTTTTTTTACCAACGAGAATACTTCGATTCTACCCTTGGCAAACGAATGACGCGTGTGTATATATATATATATATATATATATATACCGAGCGCTATTCTACCACCTCCCCCTCCAGCGGACAAAGAAAGAATTCTTCGAGTGTTTTCACATTTATACAAGTAAACATCCATCCTCATTGTACGTAATTCAAAGTCTGGACAATAATTTTTCTTTCCAGAAATATCTCCAAGATTTGTAATAGTTCGAAACGACCACTCCTTTTCTTCGTTTCCCTTCCATTCTCTCCGACCGAATTGTATCGCGAAACGCACGTCGGTAGAACGACTCGGAATTCGTAGCACGAGTGGAACGAGCACGTGCAACCGTACCTCTTGAAATTCCTCGCGGGGAGAAACACATCAGAAGTTCATGTTACGTATCGCGCGGCTGTCGAGCGAGTTTGACCGCACCTTGAGGGTCATGGTCCAGGATGGAGAGAAGGCGAGTTGCAACTTCCGTAAGGTAATAAAATATTCGACTGTCAGGTGTACAGCTTCCCGGCTCGAGAATATCGTGAACCGTGTGGTGGCTGCTTCCTTTTCTCGGCCAATAATCGAATAATAATCCACGACGATTGAATTGGGAGAATAATATTTTTTTTATCAGGAGGATCGAGATTGTAGATGAACCTCCAAACAGCGCATTTATTTTCTATCGAAAGCTTTACCTGTTTTCTCGCGTATTAAATTTTTCCAATCCAACATATGTAATCTCGACACGCTGCTCGAGTCACGAATAAATCATCAATGTCGCCACCCCCGTTTTTGCATACATCGAGGGAGGGGAAAGGAAGAAGAATTCCTTCGCTGATGGGAAAGATGATTTCTTCGTTGGGAAAGAAATGAAGGAAGGAAGGAAGGAAGGAAGGAAGGGAACATTGATTTCGTGACATCAGCTTGTTCCACGCGAGGGTGTATTTCATTTGGTTAGACGACGAGGGGGCCCCGGTGTAACCGCATTAGTCAAGCTGTCGTGCCTCGTTCGAGATCACTTGTCAGTCGATCCTTTGACAGGGGCTGCTGGCCCGGACAATAATTTCATATCTGTGAAAGCGGCGGCCAATCTAGCGCGCATCGTCGCGCTTCGTCGCCTCCACTCGCCTTCCGCTCCATGAATATCGATACTCTCTCCTCCTCCTCCTCCTCCTTCCTGTTTTCCTTTTTCCTTCCACCCTTTCAGACACGCGTCTTCCCCGATTCCTTCTCCCGTTCCTCCTCTCCGTATGGAACGATGGATTATTATTGCGAATCGCGACAGGGATTCGAGAAATATTCGATTAAAATAATATGGAATTTTAGTTTTCTCGACTTTGCTGGTCGATTCGTGCGAAGTAATTATTCGAGAGAGGAATTTCGTGATGGAAGAGAATGTAATTCAGAAAAATTTGTTTGGAGGCAGATTCGAAGATATTTATTCATCGAATAAGTTTTTCTTCTTTTCTTTTGTTATCGTGACCAGCACTTTAGAAAATTGTGACGAGGAGGAGGCACAAAGCGGGCGAGGAAACGTCAGAATTCGTCGGCGAATGCCAAGGCAAGCCTTTGTGCGCCCGTCAACCGAGCTGGCAGATGAACAACAAAGGGAAAAAACGCATAGGGAGGAAAGATAATTGCGACCGGGGTGAGCGTAGCTGCGAGGCTGCCGTTTGACCCAGCTAGCTAGCTAGTTCTCGTCAATGAGAGAGATAAGAAAGAAGGCAGATGTTGCTCTAATGGAAATGAAAACTGTCCAACCTGTCTTCCTCTCCGATACGGACTAATATTCTTTCCGCGAGAACTTATCGAATCTGACAATTCCAAGATACGCGCCAGGATCACTCGTCATTCCACCACTCGAAACGACTTGCAAGCGCCACCACGACAAAAGCTTTAGAAAATTAAAAAATTCATCGATCATCAAGATACAGGCGAAAGGAAACGAACGTTCGAGACCTTCCATAGAAATGTTCAATCGGATTCGCTCGCGACGTAATAATTGAGCAGGGCTCGTCGTCGTGTTTGGCTACCTTTTGTGGGGGATCAAGGTATTTCTCCACGGTGGCTGCTCAACCATTGTTGTCCACGGGGTGGCTTTCATCGTGGCGGAGGGGAGAGCTAGGAAACGCCGGAAGTTACGGGGCCGGTGTCCGC